GTGTAATTTCGCAGAACATTGTAATCTCGCCCAACTGCAATGGTAAGAAACTAGTGCAAATCAAGTTTTCCCATTCAGTTCTATTTTCATCACCTCTGTAGTAAACATCTAATATTATGTCTTTCTCATGGGGCTCTTGAGTGAATCCCCAAAGAGGTAAATATCATCAACAGCATCTGGGGAATCAGTTAGTGCTTCAGCTACTGAACACTGTTGTTTTGGAAATCACACTAGTTTGAAATCCACTTTCCCTTGAATTAAAATGTGTTTCCTTGAAAGTTTATCTCTCAGGAAAACTCCCCCAATACCAATGTAAACTCTCTTCCAAGTCCCAAATTAAATCACATCCTAGTGCAATTCAGATGCCATAAGAGCAGATAAGACTAAAATTGAGTGGATAAAGGATACCAGTTCTCCTTGGAGGGAAATACAGTTTGATATATATTTTTAACTCTAAGACTTCTGACGCTCAGTTCTTATCATCTCTAAGATGTGCAGCCTAAGGATTTCCAAGAATTGAAAAAAGAAAAACTTACAAAAAAAAAAAAAGAAGAAGAAGAAGAAGAAGAAGAAGAAGAAGAAGATGATGATGATGAAGAAAACACATTTTAAAATCTTAATCAGTAACTTGAGGGTCTGTAGGTAAAACACTATCTGATCTGATGTCTATTGCAGCATAGCAAACCATGCCAAAAACTTAGTAGTTGTAATTAACAGTCATTTTATTTGTTCATGATTCTGTGGGTCAACAATTCGAACTGAACTCAGAGGGATGGTTCTTCTGTTGGTCTCTTCTTAGGGTCACTTGTGTACCTGCAGGTGTCTGTATGTTCAACTGCAGCTGTTTGATTTCTGTGGCTCCCCTCACATGTCCAGGCCTTGGTGTGGCTATCAGTGGTATCACACAAGCCTTGCCAGCTGGACTGGGCCTCTTCACAGCACAGCTGATTACTAGGGGCTGAGAACCGAAGCCTAGGCCTATGCTTACAGCTCCATGGCATCCCTTCTGTTGTACTCTATTGGTCAAAGTGGCTACTGGGCCAGTCCAGATCCAAGGGTAGGAGAACAGAGTCCATTCTTGACAGCAAAAACTATAAACAGTCTGTGGCCCTTTTATATCAAGCATGTCATCTAATATCCAAAACACAGAATAGAGAGGACTGAATATTCCAACCTCAGCAGACTTCTGTTTTTCTCTTCTTCATACGAAAGGAATGTTTACTTTGTAAGAATAGCAAGAGCACTTCATATCTTCACTATTGAAAAGGCTCAAGGTTAAGGGAATACTCAATGTGGAATCAGAATATGATGAAAATCAATTATTCATTAACTGAAAAGTCCAAGAGCTATTATATATATATATATATAGATAGATAGATAGATAGATAGATATAGATATATATATAGTATAAATATTCTTGACTTTGTAAAATATTCACTTCTAAGACTTATCTTTTTTTTTATTTTTAAAGATTTTATTTATTTATTCATGAGAGACACAGAAAGAGAGAGAAAGAGAGAGAGAGAGAGAGAGAGAGAGAGAGAGAGAGAGATACAGGCAGAGGGAGAAGCAGGTTCCATGCAGGGAGCCCGACGTGGGCCTCGATCCCGGGCCTCCAGGACCACACCTCACGCTGCAGGCGGCGCTAAACTGCTGAGCCACCAGGGCTGCCCTAAGACTTATCTTAGATGTACAGAATAAGCACACCTTGCATCAGTGATTCTTCTTTTATTTTTTTTATGTTTTTTTGAAAGATTTCACTCATTTATTTGAGAGCGAGCACCAACAAGGGGAGGGGCAGAGGGAGAGGGAGAAGCAGACTCCCCCACTGTTCAGGGACCCAATCCAGGACTTGATCCCAGGACCCCGAGATCATGACCTGAGCTGAAGGCAGACATTTAACTGACTGAGCTGCCCAGGTGCTCCTATATTTTTTGTGATGGAAATGTACCCCAAAAGTAGAATAATATCATGAATTCCTATGTATTCATCACTCATCTCCAATAGTTGACAGCATTTTGCCAATTTTCCTTCAATCCTCATGTTTTCTTTGTAGTATATTAAAGCAAGTTTCAAACACTATGGCATTTTACTTGCTGTGTGTGCTTATTAAAGACTCCCTGGATGATTTACATGGGGACGGCTATGACAGAAACATTTAATGGTCACCATATCTTCCACAGGCTCCTCTAGAAACTCAGTCTTCCATGTAGTTTGGGTCAGGGCCGGTGACTTATTCTGACCAATAGCTTTGGGCAGAAATACCTGGTATCCTTCCAAGTTGAGGCATTAAGAGCTAGGGACGGTCTCCATTGATGACCTCTTACTTCGGTGACCTTGGCATTCTGATAATCCAAGGGACATAGATATAAGTAGAAGGAGGCTGCTCTTTCAGAGCAGGTTTGATGTGAGAAGTAAGCCTTTATTTTCTCAAACTACTAAAATAGGGGAGTTTCTCTTTTATCTCCGCCTATGCTGAAATAAAAGAACACCTGGTTTATGCAGCCATAAAAAAGGATGAGATTGTGCCATTTGAGACAACATGGAGGGATCTAGAGGGTATTATGCTAAGTGAAATATATCAGAAAGAGAAAGACAAACACCATATGATTCTACTCATAAGTGGACTCTTAAACAAAACAGTGAATAAACGAATAGAAGAGGAATCAGACCTATAAGTCGGAGCACAAACTGATGGTTGCCAGAAGGAAGGAGAGGTGAGGGGTGGGTTAAGTTGGTGAGGGGAGAGAAAGAGCCAGGCTTCCAATTATGGAATGAATAAGTCACGGAATAAAAGGCACAGGATAAGGAATATAGTCAATGATATTGCAATAGTGCCCTAACTCCACAGACGGTGGTAGCGATGCTTGTGGGGAACATAGCGTAATGTGCCAACTTGTCAACTTACTACATTCTGTGCCCAAAACTAATGTAACGTTGTGTGTCAGCTACACTCAAATAACAAATTAAAAAATAAAATAAAAAATAAGAACAGCTGTTTAGAGGGAAACACAACTAGGAGCTACTCGCTTACCATGTGATCAGAAGCCGATCAACAAGACTTCAAGCCTGTTTCTTCAACCACAGAATGGGTGACAGTGACACCTATCCTCTCTCTACCTCACAATGTCATCTTGAGCATGAGGGGGTGGAAATAAAATTGTTTGAGAAGTCGCACATTATTATAAAATGTGGTGGTTTGTTAGGTTACTGTCGGGGCTATCAGAACCCACTTCCCACCATCAGTAGCTAAACACATGCTCAAGACTATACACAATTTGCCACACGGAGAAGTTTTTATCAGTTCCCCTACAATGCTACTACTTTTTAAATTACTAACTTGGGGATTCTGTGGATCTGTATTCACAACTTCAAAACCTCAACAGGAGGATATATGGAAAAGGATCATTTTGAATTGATTCGCCCCTTCTCTGCCATTCTTTGGGGGATATAGTGTCAGGTGCTTGGAGGGGCCATGGGGTCACCACCCATGGATCAATGTTCCCAACTCCACCAACATATTTAGCAGGAACAGGTTCCCGGGACAGTGGGGCAGTGATATAAATCATCATGCAAACCCAGACATTTTCGAGAGTGAAAGGAGAAGTGCTGATAATTACGTCAGGAGGACTGGTGAACCTAGGACCCTGGAAAGTACAGTCATCCTAAACTTTAATGGGAATAGCAAATAGGAAAAAAAGGTGATAGGAATGATGATTTGTACTAATTTTTTCTGTAAAGAAGAAAAGAGGAAGAGAAAGAGCAGAAAGAAAAGAGGAAGCTGGGAAAGGAAAAGAGAAAGGAAGAAACAGCGCTGGTGCCCTGCCCTCTACCTGTGATGGGATTAAACAGTGGGAAACAGCTGTCCTTGCCCACTTGGCAGGCCTCCAGGGGTAGCAAACCACAGCCTTGAATATCCGGGGGCCGCCACCCTGGGGAGGTGTGATGGGCTGCCCGGCTACCCTGATGGCCCACTTCTGAGTAGGTGGGTTTAGAGAAGATAATTTCGTAGCCAGAAGTGCAGCTTGTCGGAGGCCCAGACAGCCAGGCAAAGAATTCTGGTTTTAATTCCCTAAGTCTAGCTTCTCAGGGTCACCACGTCCCTGGGAATACACCTTGGCAGGCCAGAGCATATGAGAAGCCACAGAAGAACTAGAGGCGTATTTCCAATGGATCAAATTTTCAAAAGGTATTGGTGGGGTATGTGCAGAGATTGAAATGAAAACTGGAACTGTAAATCGTTTTTTAAGATGATCACGTTAAATCCTCAGAAGCACGTCACGCAATGCAAAGCTTCATGCCTCTTACAGGCAAAACACAAGGATTCACTTAAAAAACGTTCGTTTGGCAATTTTGCAGAATTTGTCTATTCAAGTGTTATCCCCAGGCCACACAATTTTGCATTTAGTCTTTTCTTCAGAGAGGACACGTGGATGGGAAGCTTCAAAACAGCCTGTTTAAGCAGGAAGGTGACACAACTGCCATCTTAGGGACTGGTCTGGCGCCCGGACGGTGCAGGGGGCGGTGCAAGTGCTAGGGATGGGCCGGCAGGTGCGCCCAGGGCCTGGCTCGGAGCTACAGTGACTGGCCCTGCAGGGCGCCCCAGGCTCCCCGCCGGCCTTCCAGAAGCCAGTCACCGGCGCTGCTCTCTGCGGCTTCATCGGATCCTCCTAGGATGACGAAAGGCGGAGGAGACACAGGAGCTTCCCCTGCGGCCACAGCCCACGTGGGCCGGCAGGTGCAGGTATCCTCGCAGCAGCTGCGGGTCGGAAGGACAAGACTTGGTGACCCAGTGAATAATCACGTGGGAAGGGAACTCGAGGCCAGTGCTGGCCTGCGGCAGGAGGAGCGACATGTGACGTGTGTGCCACCATACAGCAAAGCCTGGGTGTTGGGCCAACCAGACATCCCCTTACATTTATAAAGAGCTGTAGGAGTTCGGGCCAGTGTTGGTGCCGGGGGCGTGATTGCATCCTGGCTAACGGCTCGTTCGCACCACAGGAACCGGCTCTGGGTGCAGGCCCAGGGCACCTGCCATCAGCCAACCAGCCTCAGAAAGTTCTGGAAGGATGTTTCCCTGTAAAAGGCCAGGCAGAGCACTGAGCACTCAGTGAGACCTCAGCAACACCCCAGCTCGGGGCTAATCCAGGTACAGACTCCCCCATCCGCATCTGGTTCCTCCACCACAGCCACCAGCTGCGTGAACTGTCAGCCCGAGCGCCGAGAGGGCAGCTGGGCACCTGCCGACCTGGCCCCGACCCCCCAGCTCCACACACAGCATCTGGGAAACGCTTGTCTTCGGAAGCGCTCCGTGTACAAGAATGTACACAGTCTCTCCTGATGGAAAATGACGTCATGTGTCTGTTTCCTATTAGTGGTAACAGCTTGACCCCGCTAAGTACAGCAGCTCGACTGCCGGAAGCGCTTACTCACTTTATTCCCATTTCACAAATTTGTTTACCTGTTTTAATCTACATTAGCTCCACGTGTGAAATTCGTACGCCAGGGAGTATTTTGTTCCCAGCACACATCCACTCTGTTTGGTTAGCTGAACCCTAAACATATCCCAGGAAACCACCCTCCCCTGTCTCAGGGGCAAACCCCTGCCCCCAGTGGGCAGGGCATGTGACTCAGGCACCACAACCTTCTGGCCACATGGCCCCAACCAGAGCCAATTTCCTGGAAGGCCTAATAAAAGATACAAATAAAATAAATTGGAGAGAAAATGGGCTCTATCCAACCACAGACACAGAAGTAATAAAGACCATAAAAGCATATATGGATAATTATATGCCCATCTTTTAAAAAAACAAGATGCAAAATTTGAATTACTAGACAAATGTAAAAATGCACAAATCAGCACAAAAAAGAAGTAGGATATTTGAAAAAAGACAATTTATAATTTAAAATTAGAATGAGAGAGAAGCACCTTGGGGGCACAGTTGGTTGAGCATCTGACTCCGGGTGTCGATCAGGTCGTGATCTCAGGGTCGTGAGATTGTATCCCACATTAGACCCCAAGCTCACTGCAGAGTTGGGTTAAGATTCTCTCTCCTTCTCCTTCTAACCCTTCCACTAGTGCTCTCTCTCTGTCTCTCAAATAAATAAATAAATCCTAAAATAATAATAATAATAATTAATAATAATAATGAGAGACACCTGGGTGGCTCAGTGGTTTAGCACCACCTTCAACTCAGGGCATGACCCCGGGGTCCTGGGATTGAGTCCCACATCGGGCTCCCTGCATGGAGCCTGCTTCTCCCTCTGCCTGTGTCTCTGCTTCTTTCCCTCTGTATCTCTCATGAATGAATAAATAAAATCTTAAAAAAAAGAAAAGAATGAGAAACAAAATTATTCCTTCTTGTCCCAGTACAAAAATCAAACAAAAGCCAAAAAAACCAGCAAAAATAAAAAGGTCTAAACCTACATGATTTTACAAGTATTAGCCATATTTTCAAGGAATAGATATTTTATATGTTATAGATATTTTATACAATTTACATGGACAATAGAAAAAGACAAGAAAATTGAATTTTCCAATGAGATTTAGGTTGACACGTAAACCAGTTATTCAGCAAAAGAGACTCCTACCTCCAGCCAAGATGAAGGGAAAGGGACTATATTTACTCTCCCGCCAGAAATAAACAAAGGGAGGACATGACACAGAAGTTTTCACACATTGGAGATCAGGCAACAAAGGACTGTGAGCCCTGAGCGAGGGTAAACAAACATGAGCTCTGTGTTTATATTTGTGCCCAGATCAATAATCAGTGCCCGGATTATTCCTGGAGAAAGGTTCTAGATGCTGGGTAAGAAGGAAGAACCTTGACGAAGTCTGGGTGGTCATCTCGAGTCCCTGAATGGGGGCTACCGAAACCCAATTGTTTTCTCTATCTGGAGGATAAACTAGAAAAATGTAGTGTAATGAACTGCAATTCGCTCTGTAGCCAGAGCTGTGACACTAGGATTGGCCTGGCCTTGGTCTAAACCTAGGAAATAAATGAATCAAAGTCAGAATCACACCTTCTTGGGTGAGTCCAGAGGTCCAGACAAATCATATCTTGAGATCTATCTAATTAGGAATTTAATCATGCAGTTGCTAGGAAGAAAGAGGTAAATGTATACCTATTAAAATGAAGAAATCTAAATAAATAAATAAATAAATAAATAAATAAATAAATAAATAAATAAAATGAAATAATGAAATGAAATGAAATAAAATAAAATAAAATAATAAAATAAAATAAAATAAAATGAAGAAATCTGCAAAGCATACGGCTGCCTTAGGGAAGTTCCGGAATGGCTAGTTCTGGATCTAGAGTAGAGTGGACACCTGCCATTGTTTTGTCTGCTCAGCAATAAGGACAAGAGCTTTCTCTTTGGGTGGACTTCCCTGACTTAGGGGGTAACCGGGAGGCCAGCTGCATGCTCTGCTGGTGTGCCGAGCAGGGCAGATATTCCCCTCTCCGGACCACCCAGGCGCTGGGCAATGAGCCCGGTCTGACCAACAGCAAATTCCCGCCCAGATGTTGGATCTCAAGGGGAGACTGCAGAGGTGGAGGGATACTCAAGGTCACCTGATCCGTCCCTCATCACACTATTGCCGGAGCTTAGTGACCGATCTCTCCTGGTCGCGCTCCCTGTTCCTTCAAATCGCTCCCCACAGTCGCCAGTGACCCACTGTGAGGGTGAGTCGGCTGCGCCCCCCATCGGGCCTGCAGGAGCTCCCCAACGCACGTGGCCACAGTGTGAGCCACAGTGGGTATTCTCTGGGGATCGGCTCCCTCCAACCTTCCAAGTCCCTCGCTTACTACTGCCCATTCCACCTTCACCTTAGGCTCCGCTCTCATTGAACTTTCTGGAATCTCTCCAGCTTTCTGGGCTCTTGTCTGACACTTAGTTTTCTGCTCTCGGCTCTCACTCAAATATTTTCTCCAGAAACACCCTCCCTAACCAATGCCAACACCTCCCAACACCCAGACCGCCTTTCCTTTCGACACCTCTCCTTCCTTCCACAGTCCACTCTGTTTTCTTCTATTTCTGCATTGATCACATTTCAATGATGTCCGATATTTATGGCCATGTCTCCAGTGAGCAACACTCGGGCAGCAAATAGGTCTCGTTCAGTGTGGCACAGAAGAGGGGGTGTCTGTACAAGTGAACGACAAGCAAAATGCTTGGGTGTTTGTTCCCTTACTGTCTCTGTATTGAGTTTTCTCTTCCATCCCCCACAAGGATTATTTTATTCCTTCTTCACATCTCTCATAATTCAGACGTTTACCCAGCTCTTCACTTTTCAGAGATCCTCATGTCTCCTTTCATAAGGAACCCACCAGAAGTCCACCAGAAGGAGATGCCTGCTCCTGCCCTTTGCCCGTCTGTCTCCACCCACCTTCTTGCTTCCTCCTGCCACATTTGCCCCAGCCTCCACAAGCTCCCTCCAGCCCCGTGTACCCTGGGTCACTCTCCTCACCACCTTGCAGGGAGCTGATTACGTCAATATTGCCTCTCATGCCTTCAAGTATCTTCAACCTGCTTTCTGTCAGCATCCAAATAGGCTCTACTTTTTTAATTTCCTGGTTGACCCTTTCATCTTTTAGCAGGATGGTCCTTAACCTCCACGTGTTTGAGGTCCTTCCAAACTTCTTGTTGTGATTTAGTTCTAATTTCAAGGCATTATGGTCTGAGAATATGCTGGGGACGATCCCAATCTTTTGGTGTCGGTTCAGACCCAATTTGTGACCCAGTATGTGGTCTATTCTGGAGAAAGTTCCATGCACTTGAGAAGAATGTGTATTCAGTTGAGTTTGGATGTAAAGTTCTGTAGATATCTGTGAAATCCATCTGGTCCAGTGTATCATTTAAAGCTCTCGTTTCTTTGGAGATGTTGTGCTTAGAAGACCTATCGAGGGTAGAAAGCACTAGATTGAAGTCACCAAGTATAAGTGTATTATTATCTAAGTATTTCTTCACTTTGGTTATTAATTGGTTTAAATATTTGGCAGCTCCCACATTCGGGGCATATATATTGAGGATTGTTAAGTCCTCTTGCTGGATAGATCCTTTAAGTATGATACAGTGTCCCTCTTCATCTCTCACTACAGTCTTCGGGGTAAATTTTAGTTTATCTGATATAAGGATGGCTACCCCTGCTTTCTTTTGAGAACCATTTGAATGGTAAATGGTTCTCCAACCTTTTATTTTCAGGCTGTAGGTGTCCTTTTGTCTAAAATGAGTCTCTTGTAGACAGCAAATAGATGGGTCCTGCTTTTTTATCCAGTCTGAAACCCTGCGCCTTTTGATGGGGTCATTAAGCCCGTTCACGTTCAGAGTTACTATTGACAGATATGAGTTTAGTGTCATCATGATATCTATTCAGTCCTTGTTTTTGTGGATTGTTCCACTGAACTTCTTCTTAAAGGGGAATTTTAAGAGTCCCCCTTAAAATTTCTTGCAGAGCTGGTTTGGAGGTCACAGATTCTTTCAGCTCCTGCCTGTCTTGGAAGCTCTTTATCTCTCCTTCCATTTTGAATGAGAGCCTTGCTGGATAAAGTATTCTTGGCTGCATGTTATTCTCATTTAGGACCCTGAATATATCCTTCCAGCCCTTTCTGGCCTGCCAGGTCTCTGTGGAGAGGTCTGCTGTTACCCTAATATTCCTCCCCATGAAAGTCAGGGATTTCTTGTCTCTTGCTGCTCTAAGGATCTTCTCTTTATCTTTGGAATTTGCAAGCTTCACTATTAAATGTCGAGGTGTTGAATGGTTTTTATTGATTTTAGGGGGGGATCTCTCTATTTCCTGGATCTGAATGCCTGTTTCCCTTCCCAGATTAGGAAAGTTTTCAGCTTGGATTTGTTCAAATACATATTCTGGCCCTCTGGCCCTTTCGGCGCCCTCAGGAACCCCAATTAAATGTAGGTTTTTCTTCCTCAGGCTGTCATTTATTTCCCTTAATCTATAAAGAACTTCTTAAACCCAACACCAAAGAAACAAACAATCCAATCATGAAATGGGCAAAAGACATGAAGAGAAATCTCACAGAGGAAGACATAGACATGGCCAACAAGCACATGAGAAAATGCTCCGCATCACTTGCCATCAGGGAAATACAAATCAGAACCACAATGAGATACCACCTCACCCCAGTGAGAATGGGGACAATTAACAAGGCAGGAAACCACAAATGCTGGAGAGGATGTGGAGAAAGGGGAACCCTCTTGCACTGTTGGTGGGAATGTGAACTGGTGCAGCCACTCTGGAAAACTGTGTGGAGGTTCCTCAAAGAGTTAAAAATAGACCTGCCCTACGACCCAGCAATTGCACTGCTGGGGATTTACTCCCCAAAACACAGATGTAGTGAAACTATGGGACACCTGCACCCTGATGTTTATAGCGTAACGTCCACAATAGCCAAACTGTGGAAGGAGCCTCGGTGTTCATTGAAAGATGAATGGATAAAGAAGCTGTGGTCTATGTATACAATGGAATATTCCTCAGCCATTAGAAATGACAAATACCCACCATTTGCTTCAACATGGATGGAACTGGAAGGTATTATGCTGAGTGAAGTAAGTCAATCGGAGAAGGACAAACAGTGTATGTTCTCATTCATTTGGGGAATATAAATAATAGTGAAAGGGAATATAAGGGAAGGGAGAAGAAATGTGTGGGAAATACCAGAAAGGGAGACAGAACATAAAGACTCCTAACTCTGGGAAACGAACTAGGGGTGGTGGAAGGGGAGGAGGGTGGGGGTTGGGGGGGAATGGGTGACAGGCACTGAGGGGGCACTTGACGGGATGAGCACTGGGTGTTATTCTGTATGTTGGTAAATTGAACACCAATAAAAAAATCATTTATTAAAAAAAAAACCAAATAGGCTCTACTTTCTCCAATCCTAATGAAGGAGCCAAAATTAAAACTAAGCTATGTTCCTTGACCCAGAGGTTGCTCTACTTCTCTACTCTCCCGGACCGCCAGCTACTCATAGGAATTGTCAATATAGCCCGTCTCCAGTTTCCCACTTTGCCTTAATTCTCCCACTTACCCCCGTTTAGCGCCTGCCTCCCCCAATCTACGAAAGCGGCTGTCACCAGGCACATCAAAAATCCTACTACTACCAAAATCTTAGTAACCTTCTCAGTAGCTGTGTTCTGTTTTAAAAAACTGTCTTCTTGTGGCTTCTGTGCCTCTACACCCCACTTTCCAGCTTTCATCCTGCTTTTCTGGCTATCCATTCCCAGCCTGCTTTGCTGGCTCTCCTCCTCTATTTGAACATTATCTAGAAATTAACTAGGACCTTGGACCTGGGCCTTCCTCACACCTCTCATCATTATCTGCCCTGGCAATCTTAAACCGTCCACAGCCCTTTATGTGCCAAAGACTCTAAATACCTATCTCCAGGAGGAACCTCTCTTCCGGCTCCGGTAGATGATCCAACTGCCTCTCTGCTCTCTGCTATGAGATGCTGTGCCGCAGGAACATCTTAAACTTACTCGGTCCAAAACCAACTCTTGATCCTGACCCCAAGCCCTCACTAGGCTCCTCCTCCAGCCCTTCCCATCTCACTAAATGGCCCTCTCCTCCATGCAGTGGCTCACGCCAGAAAACTAGGAGTCAACCTTGGGCCCTTCCTTTTCCTCAGCATTTATATTTGACCAATAACCAAATCCTACAGGTTCTACTTTTAATAAAAACCTCAAACCCATCTACTTGCACTGCCTCCACCCTAGCCTGACCACCATCAGCTCTCTCCAGGTTTACTAAAGCTCTCCTATCTGGCCTCCCTTCTCCAAATAGTCTCCAGAATGATCTTTTATTAACAAACAACTGACTCTTCACATTTCTCTACTTAAAACAGTCTAATTGCTTTCTATTGCACTTGAGATAAAATTTTAAAACCCTTAACAAGGGTTATAAGATGTTGTATGATCTGGCCCCTGCCTAATTCACCAGCCAAAACATATATCACCCACTTCTCTGTTCATGATGAACCGCCTACGATGCCCTTTTTTTCTTTCCTGGAATTTACAACCCACATTCCTATTCTTGCCATTGGATCTTCATGTGCTAATCCTATGTCCCTCCGTCCTTCCCCCTGGCTAGTGTCTGCTCACCCTTTAGGACCTGTCCTAAATGTTCCTTCACCAAAGAAGATTTCCCTCCTTACCCAAGTTAAATATGGTCTTAATGTTTTCACATGAGTTCCATAGTTTACCATTATTTATCTATTCATGTGATTACTTATCTAATGGTCATAAGCTTCATGAAAATAGGAACAAATGTTACAACATGGATAAGCCACATGCAAAAAAAAAAGCCACAAATTTTATGTTTCCATTTATTTGGCATGTCCGGAATAGGAAAATCCCTAGAGGCAGAAGATGGATTGGTCATTTTCAGGGGCTAAAGAAAAGAGGTAATTGGGAGTAACTGTTAATGGGTATGGTGTTTCTTTCTGGGGTGATGAAAATGTTCTGAAATTAACTAGTGGTGATAGTTGCCCAACTCTATGAATATACTAAATACCATGAACACGCACATGTGAAATAAGTGAATTACATGGTATATAAATTATACCTCAAAAAATAAAATGGAACACAGTGTCCTTGCCTTGTCCTCAAAAGCTTGCAGTGAAGATATTGCACAAACACAAAGCAAAATATGGTAAGTGTTTGAAGAGAGGGAACCACTAAGTCTTCCCAGGATGCTCTGACCCACGGGTTTAATCAGGGTCATCTGGACTGGATGCCAGAAAGGAGTTCTGACTTCATTTGATTGTCACTGTTGGCCTGACTCTGAGATAAACCTTTGCAAGTAAGATAGTGCACATTTTCCTTCCACACCCTCCATTCTTCCCCTAGTCACTCCACAAATCTAGGAACCCCCTTCCCTTGATAGATGTCCCCCTGCACACACACACACACATTCCAATGAAACATCAGCTCATGAAAAAGACTCACAGTCTAGTGTGCTGCCTCCAATCTTGATTTTCATCCCGAAGAGAAGACTGATGTATCAGGGAAGACTGCCAATATCACACAGCCAGGACTGGAAAGGCTTCACCTCTAATTAGTCTCTGCTTGATATAAAATTGGATATGCTCTGATTTCTTCATTATAACAATATATGTCATTCTAGCCATTTCCATGCAAGAATTTTATTTCAATATAATAATGCCTATAATTTAAAATTCTGTATGTCTACACAACATTATAGTATGAGTACTTAAGATGTTACTACCTAATTTCTTAAGCAATTGTACTCCATGAAATAGATATTAAGCAGTTATCTTTTTTTAAGATTTTATTTATTTATTCATGAGAGACACAGAGAGAGAGGCAGAGACACAGGCAGAAGGAGCCCCTGTGGGGAGCTGGATGTGGGAGTCGATCCCAGGACCCTGGGATCACGCCCTGGGCTGAAGGTGGCGGTAAACCGCTGAGTCACCCCGGGATCCCCAACAGTTATCTTAACTAATTCCTCATGGTAGGACATTTAAGTATCTCCCAATCTTTTGTTATTATGAAAATGCAGCAAGAAGCAAATTTGTACATAAAGTTATTTCCATACTTACCTTTGTTTCACTAGGATAGATTCCCCAAAGTAAAATTTCTATTCCAATTCCTTTAATTTTTTTTTTGTCCCTAGGCAGAGGCGCATTATTTTGCTTATGTTGGGTTAAGTTTGATCAGATCTTAAAACTGCCTGTTCCTCAAAGTGCAAATGTAAAAATTAAAACAGTGGAAGCAATATTCATATTTTTCTTGATACTCATAATACAACAAAGTGATAGAGAGGAATAACACCTCTTTGACACTTAATTGAACCTACTATGTGCCAAGTGTTTTGAAAATAGTAACTAATTTCATCCTTTCAACAACTCCAGGTGGTCACTATCATTACCCCTGTTTTACCAGTTAGGACACCAGGCAAAGCAGAAAATGATGGGTCCATGCTCATGGACACTGGCGGTCTGGATCCAGAATTGGAATTCTTGACTACCATGCTACACCCAAATTTGGAGTTGGAAGATCTGGGTTCAGAATCTAGCTGCACCACTTACTGACCCATGGGCAGGTCAGTAAACTGTGCCAGCGAGTTTTATTATCTCTCTTATTTGAACATAAGCACACATGATTTTATATAAATGCATAATTATATCATTAATTTTATCATTAATTTTAATGCAGTTTTTTCCTTCTTTTTAGTTTAACTCCATCCTTCTCTCACCTCTTCACCATGTAGGTCCTCACACCCGTCCTCTTATTCCATGTGAGCAATCTAGTATTTATCCTTTTATGGTTTCCCCAAAGTCACATAATCAGACACACACATATATATGACACACAGACTCATTTTGTATAGGTCGGCATTTTTTACATAGCAGGATCATATTTGTTTTAAATGGAATGCAGTCAAGAAAACAGAAACCATTCTAAGTCAGAGAGAATTCAATGCAGGATATTGGTTACACTGGAAACGGATGCACAAAGAAGCCAAGTACGGAATGGTGAGACAGCTCAGAAGTTGACAAGAGCAATGAACTGCTATCAACCTGAGGCTGAAGGCACACAGGACATAATGCTATCCCATCCCAGGAGCTATGGTCACCTGGTGGAGGCTGGCTCCACAGCGAAGCTGTCTAGGCAGTCAGAGCCATGGAGGACAGACACTGCTGCTGAAGATGATGCCCTCTCTTGCTTATAGTCCACAGCAATCCACCATGATTCCCATTGCCTAAACTCAGCTGGAAGCCAGCTGACATGGGAGCCTGGAAAACACGATCCATAGGCATCTGCCATTTTGTAATCCAGAAAGCAGAGGAAGAGTGAGGAACGGGCCAGGGAGCAAATGTCTAAAAAAACCAGTATAATGCTATGCACACTTCCCCACATCTGCTCCTCTCAATCAACATTACCTTGGGGGAATCCCTCCATTGATGAGTATTCATGCTCTTGCGCTTTCAAATTTGAGGGATTATTACTTTTCCTATGATTATTGTGAGCATCATGTAAGTGAATGGATATGAAGCTAGAAAGCCAAGGAGTAGAATATAAGTTTTATTAGAATTAGCCTGTCACCATAAGGTGGTATTTATATGAATTGCTACAAACGTGATGAAACACAGCTAGAAGTTGCAATCTAACCGGGGTGGGCTGATACTCCAGGCAGCAGGGAAATGCCCACTGACCAGTACTTTCCCCCTCAGCAAAGGCAGGTCCTAAGGCCTCCCTCTGACTTCTCATCTTGCTCTGCCTCCCAGTGGGCTGTTTCTTGACTTATAATAACACAATAAACAATATAGGATTCATGCTTTACAGCAGCACTGACCAAGAGAGATTTTGATAATGATGGAAATAGTCTACATCTGCATTGTTGAATATGCTAGCCACCAGCTACATGTGGCTACGAGTACTTAAAATCAGGCTAGTGTGACTAAGGAACTGAATTTTCAACTTTAATTTCAGTTAATTTAAATGTAAATTCCACATATGACAAGGGGCTACTGTGTTCTACAGTGCAGCTTTAGAGCTTCATAATTATTATCTCTTGAGAGAAGTATCTTGATCCACAGTGACGTTGGAGAATCAACTGAAGCTTTTCCAAATTCATGTACTTAACCCCACTTCAGATTTACTGACTCAGAACCTCTGAGGCTTGTACTACAATGGTCTGTTAAGTTCCCTGCAGCTCTAAATTTTCTATAAGAAAAAGAAGAAATGTTACCTTAGAAGTTTATACACTAGCTCAGCTACTCATTAGTGAAGATTAGAAATTTTTGGACTGATTTGTTGTCTCTTATGTTCACCTAGCTGAGAATAAGACCCTGCAGCAGCAGAGGGGGGAAAAGAGGGGTAGGTTTTAATAGAGAAGAAGGCAGCCAAGAAAGTCCCAAGAATTTGGCAATCAATGCCCATGCCTTTGTGGGCGTTGTGTGGGCATCTCTGGGCAGCCCAGGGTCAGCATGAAGTCATTAGAAAAAGGAGCATACTGTCGATAAGTTTTACCTACTTAAAATGTTTTCCAGGGTCACCCTGGCAGTTCAGGGGGCGATGCCAGGAGATCTGGAACTGAGCAGGCCCACAGCATGAAAAGGGAAGGTAAACTATGCCAAGATGGATTCGTGGCTAATGAGGCAGTCAGCTGCTTTAATTGCACAAGAGGATGGATAACAGTCCTGCTGAAAGACAAATGATGAAGGCATGCACTTATTAAATATAAACACCAGGGTGAAGGTGAGGTGTTAATCTTCAGGCAATAGATAGCCGTCGAGCCCTGTCCCATAATTCCATTTCACATTAAACTTATTGTGGGCAATAAGGTAATAATGTCAACGACTCACCTCTGTTCCTCAACAGCAAGGAAATTGATGGCGAGCTGAAAAATTTCCAGCCCCAAAGTGAGGACATTACTTGAGGGACTAAAACGAGAATGGGGAAGATAAGAAAAACTCAGAATGGATGCTTATAATGCTCTCTTGGCTACCATTGCTTGGTGCCGCTAAGAAAGCAGTAGCTAGCACGCCCTTCTCTCCCCTGGAATCTGCCAGCACCAAGTGGGAAAATGTCCTCACCCTCATTCTAACAGCTTGAGTAGGTGCAAGTGTGGATCAGTGGAGTTGTAGACACTCTCCCTGTCCCCGTTCCCCTTTGAGAATGGGTACAACCTAATAAACACATTAGGGCCAATGGGAACTAAAGTGGAAAGCTCGAATTTCAAAGATGGGCTGAGGAATTTATGGCTACCAGGTTAAAGCCTCCTAACTCACCTCCTTTCTCGTGTCATAAACCCCACCTCCCAAAGTCCCGAACTGAACACTTTGAATGCCTCTCCACTGTCTCTAAGATGAGCCTATCCTCCTCCTTAGCTGGACATCAAAGCCTTTTATAGAATAGCCCTAACCTCACTTCCTGTGTAATGTTGCTGAATTGGTTCCCTTTGTGAGCCTTTACAGAACAAGAGGTGGGAAGACACACTGGCTACGTGAGCAAGGGCAAGTCGAGCTGGATGCGCGGCTTCATTATCTGTAAAATGGACTGAGCATCAGGGATACAATGGAACTGTAGTTGACTTTGAACAACATGGGTTGGAGCTGCGTGGTTCCACTCGTATGTGAATTTTTTAATATACTATACAGTGTAAATGTCTTTTCTCTTTTTTATGATTTTCTTAATAACATTTTCTTTCCTCTAGCTGACTCTATTGTAAGAATACACTATATAAAACATATAACACACAAAATATGTGTTAATCGACTGTCGATGTTCTGGGTAAGGCTTCTGGCCAACAGTAGGCTATTAGCTGTTAAGTTTTGAGGGAGTCAAAACCTATACTCAGATTTTTGCTTGCATGGGGCATTGGTGCCCTAGTTCCACATTGTTCAAGGTCGACTGTACTGTGAACATTAAGTAAAGTGCTTGGCCCAGGGCCTGGTTTATGAAATGCAAGTTCCCTTCACTTCCCACCGTGCTTACAAGTCATACTTGTCTTCTCATTATTTCTAAAACACACCTAGTAGGTTTCTACTTCCCTTTATCCCCTCCTTCCATCCCCTTTCCCACCATCACCTCCACACTCCTTCTGGAGTCTACACCACCCACTTAGTCAATCCTCTCTGCTTAAGGTCCAGGCTCATCTACCCCCCACTTCCACAAAGCCAGACTCAAGTTTCTGCATCAGGAACATGATTCAAGGCAATCTTGGATAGCTTCTCCAACTCCTAACATTACATGGTACAAGGAATCCATAACCTTGGCTTTGAAGGTAGGACAGACAAATCAAACCTTTAAACTCTCCAAAGAATGTAAGATGACTTCCCCAATTGGTAAGCAATGGGTAGAGAGTGAAAATACTTTGTAAGCTATTTAAAAATCTGTATTCCTGTAAAGGGTTATTATCTTCAAGCCTTGTGTAACTGGGGAAGGGTTTCATGCCAGAAAATAGGCTGTACCATGTACAGAATCAATCTTCCCTACAAAGTAAGTTTGTAGGGAAGTCCCCCACAGTTTTAGGATGATCAGAGTCCTGATAGCCAATGCTATCCACCTAGGAAGTGGATGATGTGAGAGCTAGACA